AACTTCCCAATATACAAGCTTTGATATTACCATTTTGCGTTTGCTTTTTTGTACAATAATTTATGAATTGGCATTTAAATTTTTTTTTTTTTTTTTGATTTTATTAAAAACATAAAATATCTACTTCTATATATAATTAAAGATACTTTAAGCAGCTTTTCTGCTTCAAATATTTGCTGCTATGACTGTTTACAGTCATTGCGCTTCACTTTTTTTCTTTTTTTAGGTACATATATTCAATGACAGGAATTCCCTATTTTTTAGCATTTAAATTCTTCAACTTTAAATGAAATATAATTATTTTATAATCTGATTTTCGTTAGGACTACATTGAACATTTGCTATGGGGTGAAATTATTGAATGACAAAATATATAATTAAATTCAATAGTCAAGAGATTTTCAATTAGAAATTCAAATTAAAATCCAGCTTATCAATACCGTTGTCAAGAACTGCAAAATATATTTTTTATTAATAATACTTCTTAGTAATCTTAATGGGATGTACAATTAAAATGCCTATATAAAGCCGTTGTATATATGTAGATACTACAAAAAAGGTTTGCAAAAGACTCAAAAAAATCTGCGAAACCATTTAACTTCAATAGAAGATCAAATCAGACAATGACTTTAATTTGAAGTAAAGTTACTAATCTAATGTTGAGCCTTTTCCGAGTTAGTGCATCTGGGCACTTTTACTCTCTGATAACTGGGAGATTTCTGCAGAGTCCCACCCATCTCACTGACTAATTTGTGTATTCCTCATAAACATCGTGTTTTTTCAATAACTAATCCAAGATCTGCGTATCGCTCCGTCCGGTTAGTACTTACTCTGAGATTAGATGGTGCTAAGTAGGGCAGCCTGTCGGTTTTCGCATATAGCTTCCGAGCTCTGTCCCTTATGCATTTTTTGACCGGATCTATTCTAAAGTGAAGTTGTGTATAAGAAAGAGCTTCCACAGAATCAAATTTCAGTAAGTTTAACTGAATTTAAAACAAGACTTAGAGTTAACTACATTAGCTCCTCGTTGAATTTAAATACTCAATTGTATAATACCTACATATTGTCACTTTAGACGAAATTACCTCGCTTCTTTCATCAAAATATCATAAAAAGTTTTGATAGCAGATCAACTAAGGATTTACCGAATCGACGCATATAATTATCAATAGATATTACAACACAAAAATACCGATTTCTTAAATGTTGTTTACTTTGCTCTTTTTTAGTTTTATTAGTAAAGAACATGTGCACTTCAACCTCAAAGTATTTTTCTACGTCGAAGAAAATTTGCTATGGTGAATGAATAATTTTGTTAAAATTGCGGAAGCCACGTAAATGTGCTATGTACTAACCACAGATTTGAGTAAGCCACCATTAACGGCACGTGTGCAGATAGATACGAGTATGTGGGCACTTGTAGTTATCTGTACCCTTTGAGATTGTAATCAGAGCTCCGTTAATTTTTTCTTCTCCACTGGCAACGCTATCAATCACAGCATTTTTAAGTGCCGATTGCAAGTGTGCTGTTGCCATACCAAATCCACACCTAACAACCGTGTTTTGAGAGTGAACAATACTTCAAAGATATCTTTCCGACCCTGTTGAGCAATTTGACTGCTTTTTTTAACTGAACTTTAACTTCAAAGTAATATTAATACTGTGATGCTTTTTCTCGGTACTGCTTTGTGGGGGAAGCAGTACAAATATAGCTTATCAAATTTCAACAACAAATTGAAACCAACAAATTGAAATCTATAAATAAATTAAAAATTTTTGAATATTATTTATAAATAAAGAGAAGACCAAATTTATAAAATTGCGAAAGTTTTGGCATTACCGATTTGTCAAGGTTTCTTGTGACACTCTACCGATTTTGTGTGGTACCAGGTTTTTTACAGCGAAACAAAAAATACTTCAACTGTTGTGGAACTTCTTCAAACTCATCAACAGTGAATGTGGTTCAAAATTATGAGGTTTTCTTGAACGCTTGACGAAATTTTTGATTTATATTTTAATTTCCGCAGACTGAAAAATGTTGCGCTATCAAAAAGAAAGTTGTCGAGTGAAATGACAACGAGTGAAATGTCAGTGGAAAACGAATGGAAGTTCGACCGAAAGTGTGAATTGTACGCGGGTGACAAATGACATTGACTGCGGACGACAAATGTTGGCTAATATTTACATTAAATGGCAAATATTTCATTGCATTGTCGCAACCAATTCATTGAAATTTAAAAAATGTGGGCAATAAAAAGTTGTAATTCGTAAAGAAATTTATTTTATGTACGCCCACAAAATGGGAACAATTCAAAACGAAAAATTCTAAGCATTTCTGGGTTTCTTCGCTGTGCCCTCGAACATTGCACATCCTTGTAATTTGTCCATCGGTCGCCACCACCGCCTTCGTAAACCGATTTAATTTATTAAATTTGAGATATTTTCTTTTTTATTTTTAATTCAATACAATAACAAATATTTGTTATTTTGAACAAAATAAAAGGAATTTTTAGGACAAATATTTAGAGCAACCCATTTTACAATGTTCTGGTGCTTTCTACTGTTTTCAGAAATATGATATATGACATTGCAATTTGTATGCCGGAACACCCAGGCTAATACTTATGATTATGAGTGTGCATAAACTAAAATTGAACAGCTGTGCAACACTGCTATTGTGTACAATAGTTAGTGATTTTGGTTGAATTGGTTCATAAAGTTTGAATAAAGGACAGCAATGTAAACAGCGGGGCTTCCACAATAAAAAGCCCCTGTTATACAGCAAATTTAACTTTCCAAAAAGATTATGGCAAAACAATTTCTATTATCTTATTAAAATAAACAGTTTAAAGGCAAGAAATGAACAGCCTTTTACGATTTAAAATTGTGCACACATCAAGTTTTTACTGGGTTATCTATTTCGTTATTCCAAATGTTAACCTAAATAATATGCACTTGTGATTAAAATTTCCATCAAATTTTTATTTTAATATACTGCCTGAACCTTACCATGACATTTAAAATAAAATATCAATCAAATATCTTCCACGGGATATCTTACAGCATAACATATTTCCATACCATTTCTCATTTAGGCTGTTTTGCGATTTAACATACACAAATCTTTCATTTAAATGAGGTAATTATAAATAAAGCATTTGATTTAAGGGGAAAAATGTCGAATGCAACCTATAAAATCAAATTTCCGCAAAGAAAATCACCAAAATTTAAAATAAAAAAGGTCTGTTCCACGAGCTACTCCCAGTAACTTTAAGTAACTCTGTGTATACACACGTGCGTTCCACCAGCAAATTTTCAAGTAAATGAGAGCATCTGAGAGAGCGTAACATCCCTGTCACTATCAGACTTTACTCGTATATTTTATTTCAATTAAAATTTGTGTTGATGTGTGAATCAGCTGTGTTGGTTTGAATTGAAAACTGTTCCATGAAAATCTGTGTAAAGACCGTAATTTGTGGTCGTTTTTTCTTGATTCAATCGATTCTCATTTAATCGATCGACCCAGGCTCTGCACATTATCTCTACCCTGGGCTTGTTGTTTTCCCTCAAGTGTGATCCATGTTTCATTAATTACCACTACTCGAAAATTCGCTTACAGTCAGCTAAATTGTGTATAATCATTTCCAAACTATTGGAAAGTTGTAGTTTTAGTCCACGAGATGGGAGCAAACGTCGCACCCATCTTGCCAAAAGCTTTTTCATACCCAAATATTTATATAAAATATTCGATACATGTTCATATATTACGTTTGTTAACTCTGCTATCTGATATCCAACACAATATAGTGCATTTTTTCAATGCCTTCTTCACTTGTGATCTCTTTTGAACGACGCAGACGCTGTTCATCGAAAACACTTGTACTACGACATTCAAATCAAGTTTTGCAATATTTTATTGTCATTAACGATGGTGCAAGATTGCCGTTAACAGAATCCATTTCCAATTTGATTGCATAATTGTTCATTCCTTTTAAATAGAGGCATTTTATTACTGAACGATATTCTGAAAGTCCACTGTTTCAATTATCCACTGTTAGCAAAAAGCTAACCAAGCATCTGATGAAGTCGAAACTTTTATAAAGTGTAAAGTCCTTTAAAACTTGCCAGATATATAACATATAATTGATTTTTCTCTGGCGTTGCTACCTGTTGTGAAGACAGGTAGTTATCAATTCACCTCGTAATAAGATCCACTTATACCTTCAAATTAATTATCAATTGTGCGATAAAGAAATTGTGATTAATTTTGATTAAGTTAGAAATTCGAAGGAATTATCAAGATGTTAGAATCAATTGCACCATCCAACACACTGGAGGTGTTATAAAATCACGTCAACAGCTATTATTGCAGCGAGATCAGCAGGTTGGACAATTAAGAAATAGATCTCGTTGATTTAATAAAACTCACAACTTTAGTTAGAGGCAACTTTAACTAAAGTTAATATTTGCCTGTGGGATTCTAAGGAATTTTAACGTTTATATAAATTCAACTTAAATACAAATTGAGTACTTCTAATAAGAATAGAAGAAGCGTTCGGTTTTTCCTCCAAAGTTGTGTTTATTCGGTAATTTGTTTAAACTTATAAAAATATATATGTAATTTTTATATTAATTTATGTTATATGAAAGTTGATATCAATTTCTTGTTCTTCAGATATATCACAAGATTTTAGTAAAATAATAACGCTCACTAAATCACAATAGTCATACACCATGTTGAACATTTCAAACACGCTTCAGTCATCCAGAATAGTTAAATCCATGACTTTTCGCACTACGAACCAGAAAGTTCTCTTGGAATAAATAAAAAATTCTGAATAATTCTGAATAATTCTGAATAACTGAATAATTATTGTATTCGAAATCCACAAAATTCAGTTTCATCCAATAAATAACATTTCAAATCAAGTCAACTTTGAGAAATTAAAAACACTTCGAAAAGTTATATGTCAAATATATAATAAACATTTCATTTAAAAATAAAACTTACAGGAGTGAGTTTCTCACTTCTGGGTCTAACTTTCGGTTTTATTTTCGAGACAATTCTTCAAAATTCTAAATTATTAACTACAGAATTTATAAACATTCCAGTTAGAAATCGTAAGAATAATTTCTTTCAGATGATTTTCCTTAACTTTTAATTAAAACCGCAAATTTTTATATGCAGAAAACTTATACACAAAAATAAAACAGACGAAATGGAGTCGTCTCAATAATAAGAATACATTAATAAGTCAGTGAATATTAGATGTGACAGTACCGAAAAAATCGTGACCATATCAAGAAGGTGTTAGGAACTTTTGAATAAGTTAGATCTGATCAAAATGTAAGTAAAGAAAAAAAAACTAATCAAAATCCAATTGACCACTAAAAGACTTCCGAAGAATTTATTAAAAAAAACTAATGAAATTCCAATTGACCAGTAGAAGACTTCCGAATAATTTATTAAATAACCTTTATTAAAAATATGTAATTGTGCCTAATGAGGGAGGCCCAAGTCACCTTCCAATAGGAAAAGTGCCCAAAAGCAGTAAGTAAAAAAATTATGTTTTATTCAAATAATTTTTTTCATATTTTCATATTAGAGACTAAAGAAAAGCAAGAGAATATAGGAAACAAGGAGAAAATAGAAAATAATCATTGAAACTTTTTCTAATATAAATTTTATTGAAAACCCCATTATTCAAAAATTGTAGACCTGTGAGTACTTTTTTCTCGCTTACGATTTCTTTCTTTATAAATGAATAAAAATTGTTCGGTTTTTCTTCGAAATAGCGTCCCCAGTTACCCAGTAACTTCAAGATCTTCTGGTCAGCTATGTGAATCACGATAAGAAGTCTTCCACAGTGAGCGAAAGAATTTTGCTTAGAATGTTGTTGTTCCCGTAAGTACTCTCTATGAAAATGGTTTGTACTCATAAAATTTTCCAACATTTATTTTCCTAAGATAATACCATACTCTATCCTAAGTGACATTCTGGCTTACCGCGTGAATGTGAAATGCTTGATTAGCTCGATTACTGCGGGCGAAAGAATTTTGTTTGGAACTGTCTGGGAAGATCTGTATGCCAAACTCCACGCACACTGCATATTGTTACTTGTGTATATAGTAAGAACTCCTGTTATAAGATATATCTAATAATTGTGATACAGATATTTTTTTGTAGAGTAAATTTTAGTGATATATATATTTGAGATATTCTTTGTGATATGATTCAAGAGTTGGGTATGAAGCCTTAAGTCATTTATGAAGTATCCAATATAAGCTCCTGAATGTTCTTCGGAGTTATCGGGAAAACAGTTTCGAAGAATTGTAGTTAACAGATGGGAGTTACATGTTCACTGTGCAGTCGTTTAACGAAGTATACCTACATTTTTTAAAATTTTTTTTGATTTTATTTATTATATTATTATTTATTATATTAACATTGTACCTATACCTATTTCTGTAGAATTTCTGATTTGTTCCAAGACAACTTTCTGGCGCGTAGTAAAAAAAATCGTGGATTCTACTATTTCCGACGAAAGAAGTTTGCTTGAGATGTATTAAAGACAACTAATAAAAACACGCTCATAAGTAAAACCAAATTAATTAAATTAATTGATTAGAAATTTTATTATACTAATTTTAAAAATAAGAAAAATCTTTTATTTAAAAATTTAACTTAAAATTATTATTGAGTCTAATCATTCATCCATTTTCAATGGGACATGCCGAACTTTGTCAATCGTCTATATTAAACCACTTATACTCATTATAACAATCTGTTGTGAAATCTGTCTGATTTTATTTAAACTCGTCGCTTTATTCAAATCTTATTAATCTAAGGCAAGCATGATAAGAAATATATTTTACAAGAATTTTAAGAAAAATTAAGTACTTCACATCTGATAATGATTTATATTGAAATGTTTCTTGCATATATACTCTCCACTTTTTCCCAGGTCTTGCTCCTAATTTTTCTGCAATAAATATTAAATTCATCACAATGTTGATTATAATTTGATGATGATTGAGTTCGTGGACGTTTGAGGGCACTACCTCCGGGCTCTACACATTTTTTCTACCCTGGGCTTGTTGTTTTCTCTTAGGTGTGAAGTAATGGATTCATATTTCATCAATTGCCACTACTCGACAATTCGCTTATAGTCAGATAGATTGTGCATAAATGTTTTCAAACAATATTTTGAATGACGAAGTCGCTGTCGTTGGGTGCACTCTACATCTAGGAAAACATGTTTCCGTCTATCAGCCATAAATTATGACGTTCTCAAATACTCTTAATCACTTATTGGATTATCAGATGTATCAGAAAATATTCTGATGGCGCTGGTCAATTAAGCAGTTATCAAAAGTATGCAAAAGACGTGCGTACTCAATAGTTTAGTGCAAGAATGTGTCACGAAGCTCATGGAATGTGCTCATGGAAATGAGGCAACAGTCATGTGGGTTAATGGACATATTGGTATTGAGCAAAACCAAAAGGCAGATGAACTTGCTAAGCAGGGATAAAGCCTTAAGTTCTGTAGCCCAGATCCCACGATACCATTGGGCTACAACATGACTGCAGCCTATCTAGATAAGTGGATAACTTCACTTCATCTTAAATGATGGAGAGAGATGAGCACTTGTGGACAGACTAAACTCATGAAAAGATAACTCTTGTTGAGGAAGACACTTGCAGACTATGTCTAGAAGAAAAGGAGACAGCGGTGCATATATTGTGCCAATGTCCAGCACTGGCCAGTAGGAGAATGACTATCGCGGGTTACCATCGGGTTGGTGGTGACATGGCCGACAACCTCAAGCTTAATGAGCTGCTTGTTATAACAAGATATGGGGTAATGCGAACGGAAGCTACTCTAGCCTTAACTCAATAACATCTGATAATCGAAGGGCGAAAAAGGACCCAAGTCGTTTCGTAATCTACTTAGGCTAATCCTTGACTTCAGTGGCGCCACTTGTTATACGGTGCGCTGTCCCAATGTCTCACAATATTTATATACCCAAATATTCATATAAAATATTCAATAAACGTTTATATGATATGTTTGTTATCTCTGCTATCTGATATCTCACGCAATTTAATTTTTGGATCATCCAACACAATATCGTGGATTTTTTAATGCATTTTTCATCTATGACCTCTTTTAGGTGATCTGGAAGCTGTTCATCAAAAACACTTGTACTACGATGTGTAAATTCAGCTTTGCAATATTTTCTTGTGTATGATGGTGCAAGATTGCTGTAAATAGAATCCATTTCCAATTTGATTGCATAGTTGTTCATTTCTTTCAAATGGTGCTGAACGATATTCAATTTCTTCCATTTGATAAGAAATCACTAAAGTGCACTATTTCAATTATTTGTAAAAAGCTAACCACATATCTGATGAAGTGGGAACTTTAACAAAATTTAGTCTTTTAAAACTTGCCAGATACACAAAATATAATAGATTTGGGTGTAGCGTAGCCACCTGTTATGAAGTCAGTTAATTAACAATTTATCTAGTAGAACGTCCTTTACCTGCTCCTGCTATTAAAATCTTTGTTTTTATTTTAAAGTAAAATATACCAATAAAATCAACAAAATCGGATAAAATGAGTAGTGCCGATGATGATGTCTGTTGACCAAAAGACGAAATTTTTTTGGGACAACTTTTTCTTTTGAATTTTTTATCTGTAAATGTATTTTGTTTTATTAGATCAAGTAAACAATTACATCTAATGCTTTAAGTTTTTTAACAAACGCTTCGACTTTCCGAATTAGAAGTTGCTTTCAACAACATCCTAGTGACATTAATATAGTTATCAGCTTCAGTCTAGTGTTGACTTTACTTTAAATACGGGTTAGTATACGGGTTAGTCGTTTTTTTTTGTCATACTTCGACTGGTATGTGTGATTTATTTGAAACCCATAGAAACATACTCGTGACCATTGCAAAATTTATTAGTTATTTATTTTTTCATTATTTTAAAATCATTATTTTTTCATGATGAATTTGCCATAATCATTCGATTTAATTCTGAAACCATATCAATAAACTTGAAGGAGATTTCTAATAAATTGAAACATGTTAAAAGTCATGACTAACGAAATAAGAAACTCTATTTGTTGATTTACTTTTACAAGTCAAATACTTTGATAATCGCAAAAAAATTTCAAATCTTTAAGTAATTTTAGGGCAGAAACTTTGAACAATTTTCAAAATTCTTAAGTAAATTTAAACCAAAAAATTTTTTTTTTTGTATATTAAAGATAAACATTCCTATAGAGTTGAATACTATGGAAACTAGTTGTACATGGTTTGGAGCAGAGTTTAATAGTCCAAATATTTTTTAGCAGCTTTTATGAAATTGCAATTGTGGTTATGCGATTTACAAAATAACATAACAGTTTTGATGAAAAACCAAAAATAAAACTAAAAACAACCAGTACCTTATCTATGGGATTCAACAGTAATATGCTGTGCTTTGTGTTTAAGGCTTTTGGAAAATTTCGGTAAAAATGAGCTTTTTTACCGATTAACTGTAGAGCCAATTTGCATGGGTAGTATTTTCCGAGCACTTTCATTTTAAAGCCCAGTCCAGACACACCAATCAGCTGTAATAATATCAACGAAAGCGTCATTAAAAATACCAAACGTTGTGCATCATACACTCAAACTAACAGACACCTACAGTGCATGTGATAGCGAACATACAGGGCACATAGGAATAATCAGTTCACCATACAAAGGAAGTTGCAAAAACATTTGCATAAATTTAGGCACCGAAACCGCATACACCACGCCCATTCGCCTGGTCAGAACCAAAGAAATTATGCAATGTAAATCACATTAAAGATAAAAACTAATAAAAATAGCGAAAAAATAAAGCCGCATTATTTTTGGTTTTCGGAATTTGTCGAAAGTGCAGGAAGTATTATATTCTTACTGCCTCCATGCAAACTAAGCGCGGAAGTAGCTTTTTATAGTTTTGCACTGAAAGAAGAGCAGATAAAATATTAAAGTGGGTATTAAGGAACAAAAAGTAAATCAAAAAATTTCACGAAACGGATTTGTTTGGTAGACCAACAAATCTGTGGTTTGCATTCATCAACGCTTGTATAACGCTTACTGGCCAACTACTCCAGAGAGCACATAAATGTTCAGTCATGGTGGTATTGTTTTGTTAGTGGGTCTTACGGAAATTTCCGGTACGTTGATAGCGAACAAATGTGTGCATTTCGCACGAACTTATCAAAGTAACATGTTCGTGGGTTTTCTGCATAATGGTATGTATGTGTTCATACTTTGCTCCTGATACCATGTAAGTGGTTAGATTTTATTGATGCTCTTAAGATTTTGAAATGGTATTTTAAGCGCTCGAATACTTTGCCAAACAGAGAATTTCGTTATATTATCTTATATGCATACCAGTTGGGATTATTAATGTAATAGAATTTTCCGTTGCAAATATTTTAAAACTTTATTTTACTTTATTTTATGCTTGCACTACGAGTAATAATCAAATTTACTTTATAGTTACAGGAGTTTGCTCAGCATATTATGTTTACATTGAAAGGTAATTAAGTACATCAAAAGAGTCAATAGAATAATTAAAAATTTGCAATAGGAAAATTAAAGTCCTTGAAGGTAACTATACAGACCTTCAATGTTTACTTAAACATAACAACCTGCTACCGGGCTTCGACCTGACGAATTATGTGTCATATTTAAAGTGTGTCTAATGCTTCCTCAACTGGATTACGGCACCTGTCTTTCACTTTCTTTCACCAACTGTCGCTTCAATGATGACGGCAATGGTGATTCATCGTCTGATTTTCAAGCTGATTATTATTATTATTGTTGTTTGTTACGGTGGTGCCAAGGTATATGAAGTCCTTTTCGACTTGATCTTCATTATTCGGACAAACTAAAGTGTAATATTACTTGATTAATCTTACACCAAAGTGTTATGTAAATGATTAAATGGTTAAATTGACTAAATAAACAATATAATCTTCCTTTGTCGACAATATTAAGGATTCGAAGACCATAGAAAAACAATTGTTGAAAACGAGATCGCCAGATTGGGCGTGCTGCCCACAATATTTAGTGCTCGGTTAAAGAGAATGCTCTGATTTAAAAAAAAACACTAGCGAATATTTTATGATGTTAAGAATCATCCATTAAGATTTGGCTCTGTGAAATTTGATGAGGTTAAAATGTAGTTTATTTAGAGTGATTATGGTGATTTGTAATAAAATAAATGATTAGGTATGTGTGAAAATATTAAGTTTTAAATAATCTTTTTCGGTGGCTCCCAAGTGTGACAAAAAACGCCACACTGTATTCTATACTTGTTCCACATTCCCTGTTCTATTTTTTCTTTTAAATAAATAAATAATAGACAAAAAATTAGTAAAAGTAAAAAAATGTTCACCAAAGGTATATATGTGCGTAGCTAGACAGGATCAGGAAGTGGGATGTTGTTATACTTTTAACAAAAAATTAAATATCATTCTATTAGTCTATATTTGATTTTAAAAATGTGCGGTGGCAGTTTAAATGTGCACTGAAGCTGATAAAGAACTTACGCTAAAT